CTGCAATTTGTTAGGTAATTTACAGATTACAAAGGGCCAGGGCATTCATATGCAAAAGCCTCTGCTGCAGCCTGGGTGGGGTGGGTCTCAGGGAATCAACAGGGCGGAGCAAGCAGCTATGGCCGATCCTCAGCCCTGCCCTAAGGGGCCCCGCATCTCAGTGTCCTGGTAATCGCTGCAAGCACCTCTGAGGGAAAGCCACCCTCAAGTTCCGAGTTCTGCCTGCTGCCAGATGGTCCAGTTTCTCCCCGTATGAGTCCTGGGTCCCCAGAGACTTCCCGGAACTGGAGTTCGAGCAGTCGGGAGCTTGTGACTCCCTCCCGATTAAAAAAGACAGCCACTTCCTCCGGTGCCAGCCCCTTTCCGCGTGTGCTCGAGCCTCTGTACCTCTGCACTTTACTTCCGCAGCTCCTCTGAGTCTCAGTGTGCTTTTCTCTTTCCTTCTAGTTGTAGAATTTCAGCCAGCCTTCCTGTAGTTCTGGATGATGTCTGTTTTGTCTTTTTGTTGGATTTTTTAATTTGTTGTGGGAGGCAGCAATTTCTGGTGTTTACCTATGCTGCCATCTTGGTTTTCCTCTCTCCTGGGATCTTGCTGAATGCCTCAATGGGTTCTTTTGCCCTCTGACTTCAGATGGGTTCAACCACTGGGAAGAACTAGCAGAAGATCAGAGGAAGGCATATTTATTTGACGAGTTCTTTTCTTGTTAGCTGCGTATGGCAACAGCCACATTCCTTTACCAAAAGTCATTGCCTCAAAAAAACAAAAAAGTCATTGCCTCTCCTCCAAGCTCAGCTCTTCAAGTTCCGGTGACCACTCCTTCCCCCTTATCCAGAAAGTGCCAGAGCAGTGCTGGCTTCCTGCCTGTGCTAACCTTATCCTCACCCTCACCCTGATGGACGTAGAAGATACAGCTTGAAAAAAACTCTAAACTTTCTTCTACTTCTAAAATAAATATTATCCCTTTGTGATACATCCTAGGAAGATGTACTCTTCTGGGAAAGGAGATGGTTGTAATGCTTAGTTAATAGAATGTGCTCTGATAGGAGCCAGCATGTGTAAATGAGAAGATACTGGACTGGGAGCCAGGAGATCAGCAGTGCTACTAACAAGTATATGACTTTTTCTTTTCTTCTTTTCTTCCTTTCTCCACTGTGGCTTAGCAACCTCACATCTCCCAAGGAAAATCAAGTCAAACAGGCCTTCCTGAAGACAAGGTGTAAAATACCAGCCTCCAGGAATAATCGCAGCTGATGGCCCACAGCTGTCTTTGGTCCAAGGAAGCTACAGTGGGACCTTGACTTGCGAGTTTAATTCGTTCCGTGACGGAGCTCGTAACTCAAATTACTCATATGTCAAATCAAAAAGTGAACGAGTGAGACACGTGATGCTGGGCTGATGTTGTGGCATTCACTGTGACTTTTGCTGCGCCAACTAGCGGTGGGGTATCTGAAGCTGGCTCGTAACCCGAATTTTAGCTCGCAACTCAAAGCAAAAAATCGGCCGACGGCTCGTATCTCGAAAAACTCCTTAGTCGGGACACTCGTAAGTCAAGGCCCCACTGTACTTTGCTCAAGGTTATGCCCCCTTGCAGGGGCAGCCAGCAATCAATGATTGGTTAATGCAGAAGCACAAAAACTAGGCTCCCTTTTCTCAATCGAGGAAAACTCTGAAGGGCCATTCCAGTCCCAGAGCCTCTGTTTCTTCTGCATCACACTTCAACTTTTCCCTGTGCCTAATTCCGACCCCCCTCCCCCACCCTCCCCAGCTTCCAGGTGCTGTACTCTAGAGCACTCCCAGTAAATCTCCTGTACATAGATATCTGTTTCAGAGTCTGTTTCTCTAAGGACCAGAGAGGGGATTATTTTAGATTTCGGGTAAGTTGAGTTTGATATGTCTGTAACACAGCCAGGTAGCTTTATCTCGCAGGCTTTTGGTCAACTAAGCCTAAAGCTCCAGAGAGAGCTGTGACCTGGAAATAAAAATTTGGGTGTTATATCAGCACCGGGGTGGTAGTGATCTGCAATCCCTTACTTGCAATTTTCAAATTAAAAAACAAAACAAAATAAAACATCTAAAAACCTTTAAAAATGTAGTTGGTGGCAAAACCTGTCCTCATCTGACACCAAAAGTTGAACTGAATGTACTATTTATAACACCTTTAAAAATTCTACTTAGTGTGAATATTTCTGTGACAGAAATATTCATATGTTTGATTAGGAAGTGCTATCCCAGACTCTACTGGGATCAGTATGTAATTTTCAGTATATGTGCTTTATTACCTTTCCAAAATCTGAAAAATTCTGGATTCTGAAGCCATCTGGCCCCAGGATGTTATTTATTTACTTGAGGCCCGGTGCACGACGTTCATGCACTGGGGGGTGTGGGGGTCCCTCAGCCCGACCTGCACCCTCTCCAATCTGGGAGCCCTCAGGGGAGCCCTCTCCAATCCAGGAGTTTCTGTCTGTCTTTGCAATCATATGAGCAAATTGTCTGAGACCCCCCAACCCAGTTTGGTTTGTTGCTCACAGAATAGAGGCATTTTTTTTCTTTGCTTCATTGGTGGGGATTTCCTGGAAGTTTTAGGATATCTTCCCTTTAATTTTTCCTAGACACTCTGATTTTACATATGTCTCTCACCTTTGCTTTCCCTCCATCCCCCACCACAACAGTAACTTGCTACAGGCTCACTATGCTCTAGTGTCTAGGACAGTGATGGCGAACCTATGACACGTGAACTCATTTTTTTGGTTGATTTTTCTTTGTTAAATGGCATTTAAATATATAAAATAAATATCAAAAATATAAGTCTTTGTTTTACTATGGTTGCAAATATCAAAAAATTTCTATATGTGACACGGCACCAGAGTTAAGTTAGGGTTTTCCAAAATGCTGACA